TGCTTTGAACTTGTATAGGTGTGTAAGAGGTATAGCAACATAGCATTCATACGGACCCACGGTAGCTACAATTCTGTTCCCAGGTATCGCGCGCATGAGGCTTCAAAGCTGTGGATTGCTGTGCGTGTGCAGAGGTTATCGAGCGGTTGACGGAAAGTGAACTTGAAGTACTATACCTGGTAGCTGCAATATAGCTACCCTGGGTCTCTATACCTGGCAAGGTGCCAACTACACCTTTCCATTCAGATGATGCAAATGATGCAAATTGCATTTCTTGCATCACCACCCCTCAAAAATCACCTCCAACACGACCTCAAAAAACCTTCCCTCGACGCACCCTCCTCCCCCAGCATGTGCCGAGTTTACGTGTACCTTTTGCGGGCCACCCCCCCAGACCCCCTAACTACTCACTTCGTTCGCCCAACACAACTCCGCTGGCTCCTTCTACGAAGGCTGGCTTTCGCAATATAGGTTTTTTGTGAACTATACTGCGCTCCCTTAGAGGGCTTTGGTATATTATATTATATACCATATATTATGTGTATGTATGTATAACTTTGCATAAGCGGATGCCAAGACCTTCCAGGACCCTGCGACCAGCACTCTACAGCTCACCACCTCTTGAAGTCTCAAAAAATAAATGGTGGCTGGTCCAGGTGCCTTCGAATGCTATGCTCCTCTTTCAGCTGAGGCCAACTCAACCTCGCTTCGTGCCCCGGTGAGACGTCCGGGACCCGTGCGGGACCCGTGCCGCTGAGGGACTGAACCGTTGGGAGGCCAAGCGCACACGAAACTGCCCGTCCAATGAGCCCGGCTCCAAGCACCAGTCGCCAGCAGCCAGGTCCGGGCGATGGGCACTGACACGGGTCAAAGTTTGGCCTAAGAAGATCTGTGAGAAGCATGTTCATGTCAAGTAATTCATGGTTGAACAAATGGCTTGGAGTTTTGGAGCCCGTCTTTTTTTTCCATAGGTCCTATATGTTTCCAGGTACAAACCTGTTTTCCACGTCCACCCGCCCCACCAAGGTGCGCAGCTGGAAACATCTCAAGAGACACGAAACCGCGACCGGAACGCGTCTGGTCGCAACGTAAACCGCCGAGTCGAAAGAAAGCAGAAAGCCGAGTTGCTGAGCTGATCCTAAGCTGGGGTACGACGCAAGCTTGGAAGGCTAAAAATGCACAAATTCCATGAATGACAAGCCTCTTGCAAGACGTCCAAAATGATAGAATTCCGAACCCGAAAATGGTGGCTCCCAAAGGTACCAGAACCTTTGGGTCCCTCTTATAACAAAAAAAACAGACCTGGCAGTCCCCTAGCAAAAACTATCAAAAACTTAATCTTCGGTTTCAGGCTCACTCTTCTCAGACCGCTGGGCGTCAAGGTACCAACCCATTTGATTGGTTCCAGACGCATGGCGGATTCGCACGATCGGCTCCAGCTGCTTTGGCTCGGGCGCCTCTGCGACCGGCGCGGTCGCGCCCCGACCGCGCCCGGTGGGGAGCGGTTTTGCAAGGATCATTCTTTGAGCCTGAAGAAGCGGGAAGCACTCGCAGGCCAGCCACGGTGTGTACTTAAGTAGAGTAAGAAGTGGACTGGTGGTGGAAGGAACCATTTTTTCCCATGCCCGAGAAGCGAACTACATGGATGCTCGGCCCGTGGCCCTGGCCACTAAGATGCGGTCCATTTGACACAAAACAACTGGACTTCTGCGGTCCATGTCTCTGTCATTCATACATCTTCATACTAAAGCCGAAGCCAGTGGGTTTCATCTCCTCAATCTACAAAAGAGCAGTTGGTTTGCGTGTAAGCACAAGTTGTTTCTTGATTGAGGGAACCAGTCGGCTTCTACTGTCGTTCTTCCATCCCAAACCTGCTTCGTTCCGATTCTGACACAAACTCAAGCAAAAAAATGTGCGAAACCACACACCTGCCCGCTCAGTGACGGGCCAACACGGGCAAAGGCAGACAAACAGGTCGCCAGCTCCTGCAAGGTCGATGGAGGTCCCTGCTGAGTCGCGCGCGATACCGTTGACTTCCCGCCCTTTTGGCAACATCGCCCTCGGTCCGTGAACGATGTCGCCATACGGTTCTTCTATTTTTGAAGATGTTTGGGTCACCAGTCACGAGTCAGTCCCAGTATGAGGTCACTGAAAAGACCCTACCCTAAGCCTAAACTATATATTATATAGCATTTCTGGTAAAGGAACATCGTCTTCCAAATAAATCCTCCTGACAGGGGCTACGCGTGTTCGGGTTCGCGTCACACGTAGCAGGACCCCCCCGCCACCCACCAAAAAACCACCCCAAAGACGAAGCAGCTCTGGCACGTTTCGACCAGCAAGCACCCATCCTCGGGTTTAAATCGGGCTTGCCACACGAGCTCAAAGGCAGACCATCCCAACGCCTGGCCACCGGGTTTCCGCGGCCAGACGGGGTCCCCATGCACCATGATGCACCTTGATGCACTAGACACTTGATGGCATTCATTAACAGGTTCAACTAAAAAGGAAGAAGCATGGATTCAATACATCTATAACATGCCTTGAGGTGCTGGCTTCTTTTCGGATGTTTCTGAGGGCCGACCCAAAAACGGCTCGCAGGTTGGGAACGAAAAACCGGTTACCATGCCTCAGACATAACATTCTGAGAACTCTCGGCCAGCAATGGAGAAACTCGGGTGGATAGACACCATCCACCCCCTGATGTATGTGAGTTCCTTCCCTCCAGAATCTCATCCTTCCCTCATCGTCAGTGCTGGGTCAGTGCTGCTGGACCCTCGGGTCCGGACCCGTCCCGACGGACACCGCCCACCGCCCACCCGCCCGGACACCGACCCGACGGGTGCTTCCCGACGAAGGCTGACGTCGTCCGCCTCGAAGAGCCCTGAGTGAGCAAGCTGTTGCTTTCCATAGGCCCAAAGGGTGTTGCTGATCTCCTGCCGATCTCACCCCTTGGATGGGTGGGGAAATCGAAGCCATGCACTGCACTTGGACCGAAAAAACCGCCGGGGGTTGTCTGAGACTTGGCTGAACCACCGCCATCTGCACTTGATAGTGACCCCGACATCGAAAGACAAATCCGCTCTGTCTTCGCGGACTTGGTGACCACTAAATGTTGCATCCGTTGAGCAAGTGAAGATGCCTCAACCATCTGACAGGTTTGGAGGTCTGCAAACTCCTATGAATCTGGATGGAACATGATGTGTCTCATCCTTCCCCCTCCGAACAAGCGTAGTCTCCTGCCACGTGCCGGTAGAGGGCTGCGCGGTAAACCGGGCTGACCGGTGGTGCTGTGGCGGGGCCGACTCCAAACTTCACCTTCTTCCGACGTTCACCGAAGAACATGTGCCAACCCTCTCCCCATCGGGGAACACCAACACCCGGTGGAGGAGTTGTTGAGATCGAGCAAAAAGACATCAAACAGAAGATGTCATTAGTCCAGGACATTGGCAAAGAGGAGTCTGTTTAAAAAAACCACCACATCAAAAGAGCTCGGATCCCATCAAAGAAACAGAAAGAGACGTCCCATCATCTACCCTCGACACGAACCAACATGACAACAGGTCCACGCCCTCTCCCAACTAGTTCGTTGGCCGCAAAAAGACCTCGTAGCGGAGCTGATCAACACCCTAGGGACGACCCCGAGGTCCTGGACCCTAGTAGGCTGGAGTCCTGTTGCTGTCGTGCCCGACACCCAACACCCGAGGCCAGTTGGCTCCTGTGGCTTCAGTAGGGTTGCTTGACCCGACAACTCCTGGAGCCGCCGGCCAGTCTTCGGCTTCGGGACTGGAGGAGTCAAACCATGTTAGATCTCCATCAATCGTCCAGTCTGTCCCTGAATCCTGAAAACCTCATCGAATTCACTTCAAAATGAGGCCTTTGACCTGGCTTTATAAATCAATCATAGATCTCTTCTGCAAGTCTTAGATCTTTCGGCGCCACAACGGCTCAGTGAGACCTTGCCTGCCCCCGAAGCGGGAGACCCGCCCCGAAAACGGGTCTGCAAGTGGGATTGGTGTTGAGGGAAGATCGAACCGGACACCCACCGGAAACCCACCCCCAAAACGATCTGTACTATAAAATGCTCCCAAACACACCAAGTCTGGGAACCAAAAAACACCTTTTCGGCGTTCCGGACATGTTCAGACCGCACCGAGGGGGGGCCACCCGTCGTCTTGGGCGAAGAGCGGACGGAAGACCTGGCCCACGGTGTTCATCGGGTGTTTCTGCGGCTCCACGTCACTCGGTGTTTCATGTCTTCCAGAAACAACACGGCGATTGAGAGAAAAACAACATGTCTTCCAGGACCATTCGTGGGACTGGAAGATTTGCTGATCGATTGGTAGGATGTTTATGATTTGTTCAGACGTGTTAGGGTCAATGTCAGGGTAATGTAGGCAAATATTCCAGTCCGATGGATTGTCTGGGATTTATCATGGGCCAAAGAACACCCATCGGTCCATGGCAATCCTTTCTCCATGTCCCATCCCAAAACCAAGAACCTCCGCCATGCTCTGGAAGAGGTCTTCATCCCGCCACTTCATCTTGGTGAGCGACCTGATCATGAAAAGCCAAAACAGCTCAGCTCGACAGAGAGGGCAAATGCAGGTGCAAACGAAGACAAACTACTATATAGAGGTTGTTCTCTTTGCCAGGTGTCAAGCTCTGTGACACCATCCAAATCATCCAAGATCAAAAAAGAAACTCTGGGACTCTCCTTATCCGTATCCATCCTTATCCTCCTTCCCCCCGTCCTTCCCCCCCGCGTTTTTCGGGGTCCCGAGCCACGCGGCCACACACAGACATTGAGCCTCGAGGCGACACCGACCCTCGACCGGACCCACACGGCGCCAGGCGCGCCGCGACCGTGCATCCGAATCGGCAGTTCTCGATGGATTCATTCTCAAATCTGGCATCCGGCTTTCATCATAGAATAAAACAAGAAGCTATATATAGCTTCTGACAATTGCACGCTGTGCATTGCAGTCATGAAGTGGTTGAGAGTGTTTTCCATGCTTCGACCGACCGTATCCTTCCGCTCAAGGGAGGGACTTGTGCGCTGAAAAGCGCTGCGGGTGGCGCGCGTTCGTGCGCCGTGTTTCGTTTGCTGCCGGACCTCGGTTGCCGGCCTTGCTACCTCAACATTGGTAGCGGAGCCCTCCGGGGCTCTGCGATCTACGCTTTGAGGTCAACGGGGTTCTGCGGAAGTCCCGCGTCACCAACACGTTGCCGAGCACTTCATTGCCCCGTTTGTTGAGCGCTTTCGGTCAACGACCACCTACTTGACGAAGAATGCCGACGCAGGCAGCAGAAGTGAAAGAGACCTCCGAGCTCTACAACCTGCGCGACTCCTATGTCCCGGTCTTCTCAGGCCAACCAAGCGATTACCGAGAGTATCGCAAGAGGCTGAGCTTATACCACAAGAAGATGCAGCTCAGCAAGCGGACAGGTGAGTCCATCCTCAACATCCTCGGAAGCTTTCAAGGCGTGACCTGGCGCCTCTTTGAGGATTTCTCAGTTGAAGATGCTGAGAAAGAGGACTCCTTCTCCAAGATCCTCGCCAAGCTGGATCAGAACTATGAGTATGATGACAGTGTCACCCTCCCCAACGACTTCGAGTTCTACTTCGTGACACTCCAGCGAAAGCCCCAGCAGAGTCTCTTGGCCTATGTCACCGACTACGATGAGGCCTACAGACGCCTGAACCGACACAAGGTGACTTTGCCCGCTGCAGTCCAAGGATGGCATCTCTTGAGACGAGCTGGCCTATCACGCGAACAGCGCCAGCTGGTGACCGTGAAGGCACCAACCCTTGAGAAGAATAACGTCATAGAGGCCATCTACCTGCTCTTTGGTCAGGACTACAAAGCTGGAGGCTGGGCACCAGAGAAGGACAAGCGTTTTTCTCGCTGGAAGGGTCGCGGCTATGCGGCCATGGAGGAGGATCCTGAAGCCTGGGACGCCTATGAGAGCCTGACTATGAAGACTATGGGGACGACCCCGAATTCGATGTCAACGCTGGCTACTATGGGGAACTTGAAGAATATGACTATGACGAGTCAACCCCATTGGATGATGAGCCAGCAGAACTTGCCAGCACCTACGACCATGCCTATGCCACGTACCTGGACGCCCGACAACGATTTCAACAGTTGAAGATGGCTCGAGGCTTCATGCCTGTCGTGGCGCTGACTGACAACCAGACCACGGTCCCCATCGGTGCTGGTCCTGTCTCAAGTGGTTCCAAAGGAAAGGGCAAGAACAAGAGCAAGGGCAAGTCAAAGAAAGGAAAGGGTCAGAATGTGGTCCGCTATCCCTACACCGCGGCCAAAGATGCGGATCCTCGTGGACGTGCGAAGGCCACCAACTGTTTGAGGTGCGGCCAACCTGGCCACTGGGCTGCAAACTGTCCTCAGAATGCGAAGTCCTCTTCACCGACCTCCTCAAACAAGAGACCTGCACCTGGCTCTACTGAGGGTATGGCTTTGAAGTCTGAAGAAGCTCTCGTCCTCTTCCAAGATGAGTATGGAGCTGAACGTGTTGACGCCACCATGCTGGACCCTGGAGCTTCTGCATTCTTGAGCGGCTATGGCCCCTTCGTGCGCTACGTCAA